AGGGCCGGGCGCCGGCGCACCCGCCGGCCCAAGACCCCGGCAACATACCTGTCAAGGCCCGAGATCCCCGGACCAAGCCGGGAACCCCGCCCAGGAGCGATACCACCCCAGAACCCACGCCCGCGTCCACCCCAAACCCACCCAGGGACAGCCAGGTCACCAGGCCAGTCTTTGCCTTTGCAGTTTATTTTTTTATATTTGTGTAAATTAAATTTACGCTGTTCGACGCACTGCTACAAAAAGTTACAACAGTATTCCTAATCCAGTCACTCGTTTTGGTTTGAGATTTTCCACAGCTGTGAAAGGACTAACAAATCAAAAACTGTGTTGGAAACTGAAGAATAATCATAATAATGTTCTTTAATGTTTATATATTAGCACATTTTTAACAATTGTATCTTTGAAGCATGTGGAGCATTAAAACTGTTAGAAACTAAAGTTGCAGATGTAAAACTTACTGAAGAGTTTTGAAGTTCAACTTTGAGCACAAAGCTAAGGTGCCGGATCCAGAGCCCACAAGCATGTCTCCAGACTGGAGTATCCTGAGAACACTGACACCCTGCACAGAAAGACTTGATCATAAAGTATGACTCTAAAAAAAGTATATTTAAACATATCACTTCAATTACATCACCACTTTTTCATCACCAACAAATCAGATAAAGCCAAATCATCCATAGTCATCAAGTTCATTAGCAGGAAATCAAGAAACAAGGTAATAATGCAAGCAAAAAACTGAAGGGAACAAATGTTTACATAAATGAACATCTAACTAAAAAAAATGGAAATATTGCACGTGAAGCAAGGTGGTTGAAAAAACAGAAAAAAATAGCATCAACTTGGACAAGAAATGGAAACATTTGGATCAAAATATAGGAAGGACCTCAGGCCAAAATAATAAAAGACCTGAAGGATCTGGAAAGACTAAAATGAGCTCAGGAGAGGACAGATGATAAATCATTGACATAACTTCACAAACAAGAAATTAACAAAATATAAAATGAACAAATACATTAAAACATGGCAACATACGAAGACAGAGTTTAAAATATACAATGTTGAAGTTGTGATTGATACAAAATTTTTCCCGGCAATAAAAGACTGTGAATATAACAATGAAGAACAGTTTAATGACATCAATATAACAAATGGAGGTCTCTCTATTATTCACTTTAATAGTAGAAGTTTAAATGCAAATATATCCAAAATAACAGATTATTTAAAACAGCTAAACAGAACTTTTACAATAATAGCACTATCAGAGACATGGCTCAACGATGAAAACACAAATAATGTTCACATCGAAGGGTATGAATTATATCATGTGAACAGAAGCAACAAAAAGGGGTGGTGGAGTGGCTCTATTTGTTACAAATGAAATAAAATGTAAATTAATTAATGAAATGTCAATAATTGTTGATAATATCATGGAAATAATAACAATAGAAATAATGAACGAGCAACACGGTGGCGCAACTGGTAGAGCTGCTGCCTCTCAGTGAGCAGGTCCTTGGTTCAAACCCCAGTCCAGGGGCCTTTCTGGGTGGAGTTTGCATGTTCTCTCCGTGCATGCGTGGGTTTTCTCCGGGTGCTCCGGTTTCCTCCCTTGACCAAAAACCTGCATGTTATGCTGACTGGTAACTCTAAATTGTCCCTAGGTGTGAGTGAGAGAGTGAATGGTTGTTTGTCTCGTTTGTCTCTATGTGGCCCTGTGATGGACTTGCGACCCGTCCAGGGTGTACCCCGCCCCTCGCACAGTGATTGCTGGACATGGGCACCAGCGACCCCCGTGACCCAAAATGGAATAAGCGGGTAAAGATAATGGATGGATGGATGGATCAAAGCATTACAAAAGAAATCACAATTAAGAAAAAAACAATAAACACATCAAAAAAAGCAATGGACAAATTAAAAGATGATTTACATAAACAAAGCTGGAAAGACATGTATGTTGATGATGTGAACAGATCATATGATGAGTTTATGAATATTTTGGGAGCTCTCTATGAAAAGAATTGTGTGCAAAATAATTATACAAAGAGAAATGTTGTTGACCAACCATGGATGACGAACGGGTTGAGAAATGCTTGTAAAAAAAAAGAATTATTTGCATACATGTTTCTTGAAATTGAGAACACAAGAGGCTGAAGAGAAATATAAGAAGTATAAAAATAAATTAGTAGTGATTATAAGGAAACACAAGAAGGAATATTATAGTGATTTATTAAATAAAAGTAATGGTGATATGAAAGCTACATGGCGAGTAATAAATAGTGTTCTGAAAAGTCATAAAGCAAAACAGGTATTTCACAATATTTTTTGAAGGATGACAATGAAATCCATGATGAAAATGAAATTGTAAATGGATTTAATCATTATTTTGTTAACGTTGGATCAAGCCTTGAAGCTAAAATACCAAAAGTAAACAATAATGTGAACCATTCAGTTATAAGTTGTGACAAAAGTATTTTTCTTAATGGAACTGACAAAGAAGAAATAATGAATGTAGTAAAAAATCTTACAGATAAGAGATCAAAAGACTGGGTGGACATGGATATGATGTTTGTAAAGGACATAAGTTATGTTATCGAGCCATTTACATATATTTGTAATTTATCATTTTCAAAAGGACTATTTCCAGACAATATGAAAGTAGCTAAGGTAGTTCCTCTCTTTAAAAATGGTGATAAATGTGTGTTCAATAATTATAGACCAATATCCTTATTACCACAGTTCTCAAAAATTCTAGAAAAACTATTTGTGACCAGATTAGATAAATTTATTACTAAACAAAACATTCTAAGTAGCAGTCAGTATAGGTTTAGAGCAAAAAACTCTACATCAATGGCTCTCATGGAAATAATAGAACAAACTGCTGTCGATCAAAAACAGTATTGTGTTAGTATTTTTGTTGATAGAAAAAAAGCATTCAATACTATTGACCACAATATTCTCCTTGAAAAATTAAATAAATATGGTATAAGAGGACCAGCATTACACTGGGTATCTAGCTATTTAAAAGATAGGAAACGGTTTGTACAAATAAATGGTGTAAGATCTGACCTGTGCAATATCACTTGTGGAGTTCCTCAAGGCTCTGTACTTGGACCAAAGTTATTTATTTTATATATGAATGACAGTGAATGTATCAGGACTCCTCAAATGTGTCCTTTTTGCAGATGACACCACATTTTTTTGTTTGGGCAAAGATGTAAAATGGATGTTGGAATTGATGAAGACAGAATTTGATAAAATACAAACTTGGTTTAAAATTAATAAATTATCATTAAATTTAGATAAAACTAAATACATGATATTTAGTAACAAAAAGAGAACTGTTGATGATCCATTTAAAATTGAGGGTGTTGAGATTTGTAGAGTTAATGAGATGAAATTTTTGGGTGTAATCATTGATGAACAGCTAACAAGGAAAAATCACATCAATTCTGTAAGAACAAAAATAGCTAAATCTATTGCAGTACTATACAAAGTCAAGGAATTATTAAATGATAAAGCTCTGTACATGTTGTATAACACAATTATTGTTCCACATTTAATCTATTGCATTGATGTTTGGGGGAAAGCGTGTAAAACATTTACAAAACCTATTTTTATTTTACAGAAAAGAGCTGTAAGAATTATCACCAGAAAGCATTACAGTCACCCATCAAGCACATTATTTTATCAACTGAAGTTATTGAAGTTCCATGATTTGGTAGATTACAGTATTTTATCAGTTATGTATAGGGCTCAAAATAACACATTACCATTAAATATCCAAAGAAATTTTGTTAAAAGACAAAGTTATAATCTTAAGGGGATAGAGATATTTGTCAAACCAAAATTCAGAACTAGTCTGAAGGGAAGGTCTACCTCAATTCAAGGAATTGGATTGTGGAATGGTCTAGAGAGTGATGTTAAAAATGCCAAGTCAATGTGTACATTTAAGAAAAAGATCAAAGCTGAATTGTTAAAAAAAGTATATATGAAGCAGCTTAGTGTGTGTTTTGTATTAGAATTAGAAAAATTAGAAAGAGTTATTCATTTTGTTCTGTTACTTGAAAATTATTATGATTGAAATAATTGTTTGAAAAAAGGGGCAGGTATAATAAGATTTTTTTCTTCTTTCTGCTGCCTTTCATTTTAAATCTTTTGTATCTTTTTTTATATTGTTATGGAATTGTTTTGTACTTTTTAAAAATGAATAAACTTTATACCATACCATACTTTTTAAAATGTGAATTTCTACTGTAAAAAAGGAAAAACAAAGTGTTTGAAAAGAGATCGTTAAACTGCCAAGAGCATTTTGATGTTTCATGTAAAAAGTTATCGCAGGTCAAATGAAACACGTTATTTTACCCATCACTTTATTTCCACAGAGGACATTCTGTCACAATTAGGTATCAGATCGATAAACAGCTGGTAAATTTACATTCATTATGCTGAGTAAAAGGACTGTGATGACTTACTTGGCTGAACTGGGTTTTATTTGGACCGTGGCTGTTCAGGAGCGCCATCTTCAGGTTGATTTTCAAAATGTCTCCACTTGTCGTGCCACAAAATATGAATTGATCGTCTTCAGAAATCTGTAGATTGACCATGAGTTACTCTCCACACTTCTATTTATACATGTTTTGACAATTATAACTGTAAATTAAAAGGTTTATTTCAGAATAGAATACAACTTTAAAAGCACTACAAAGTACAAAATATTGGTTGGCACAGAATTTGTTGTGCTGAAGGTTCCCAGGAGCTCAGTGGACTCCATAATTCTCACATGGAAGAATTTGACAGAACCAGGACTGTACCAAGAGCAGGTGGCCTGGTGTTATGGTGAGATGCATGCCTGTCAAAACTGACATTCTGTATCACACACCACAGCAGACTACAGCTTGAGACAAACAAAGTTCTTTGCAGATTGTTGGTGGTTGTTAGATACCTCTGCTACATAGATTATACACATGTTTACAGTTTACAATTGTAAAATTCTGTGCAGATTCACTCAGTAACAATAGATTTAATGGACACTATATGTAGAAATAGATCAACTCAATCTATCAATCATCTTTCCTATTTCTTCCTGTTTGGGTTGCAGGGGTGGCCGGTGCCCATGTCCAGCACTGTGTGAGAGGTGGAGGACACACTGGACAGGTCTCCAGTCCATCACAGGGACACATAGAGACAAACAACCATTCACTCCCTCACTCACACCTAGAGACAATTTAGATTTCTTTATTATTAGTTTTTTGTTTTAAGTAATTTTAGAGTTACTAATTAGCCTAACAAGGACCTTAGATCAACTCAAAACTCACCAAATAGGTCCAAAAACATTTATGAATCATCATGCAAGCTGTATGTATGAAAAATCGTTCCAATAACTCAGAAGAGATGACACGACATTATTCTCTGGTGTTGAAATGGTTGAAGTAACTTCAGCACTGGGTACTTCAGTTCAATTCAACTCAATTCAACTTAGTTTATATCATTTATATATTCTGTGTAATCTGTGTTTCAAGATCATCATATTTAGTTTTAAAGGTTGAGGGCATTTGATACTTGTGAAACCCAGTGTATTGTGACATCTTGCAGGCAAGACAGTTTTGTTTAGATGAATGATTCTTCTGACCCATCAGTAGCTCTGCTTTTAGGCAGTGGGGCAGACTTCAACCATCAGCTGCTGATACACACAGGCCCACACCCCAGAGGACTCCTGGAACCTGGGTTGGAGCTTGAGTGAATAGGGACTATAAAATATGTAAAATAGTTTTTTTTAAATGCCACAGGGCCGCAACTTCCTCAGATTCCTGTAATCTTTGGAATGGGTGACCTGCAGTTGCAGTATTCTTGTTTTGTCTTTATTTCCTTATTCACTTTGTTTCTTTTGTATAATAAATGTCATAAAATACAACTGAAAAGTGTTTATTTCTTGAGTCCACCAGTATCTAAGAAACTCCACTAAAGACCTAAGTTTGAGAAGGACAACCAGAACTGCAGGTCTATCTGGTTTTATGACAGAGTGGTTCGTCTCAGAGTAAAACCCTTGAATGTCATTTGAAGAACTCTCAAACTGTGAGGAACAAGATTTTTTGGTTTAATGAAACCAAGATTGAACTGTTAGACCTTAACTTTAACAGTTTTGCCAGGAGGAAACCAGGCACCGCTCATCACCTGCTCTATAATCTCCACAGTAAAGCACGGTGGTGGCATCATCATGCTGTGGAGCTGTTTTTCAGCAGCAGGAACTAAGTAACTGGTCTAGATAGAAGAAAAGCTGAAGGAGCAAAGTACCCAATATAAACCATGTCAACCAAGACTTGGACCTCAAAATGAGGCAACACAGCAGAGACAACACAGGAAGGCCCAGGGACAACTCTGAGTCGATGCTGTGGCCCATCCAACACATCTGGAGAGTCCTAACATTGCTCCACAGACAGCTTGTGGGGATTTTCAAATAAGAATGGCAAAATAGTAAATAAAAAATCCAGATGTGGAGATCTAGTTGTATCAAACCCAAGAAGACTCTAAGCTATGTTTGCTGCTAGAAGTTAAAAAGTGCTCAAGATTGATCCACCACCTTACAAACGTTGAGCCAATTTTATTTTTAAAAAATTCTGGAAAAAATAAAACATATATATATATATATAT